GGGAGGGGGTCGCGGTGGGGGCGCTGGAGGCGGCGGCGGGCGGGGTGGAGTGGAGCGGGGACAGGGGTGGCTCAGGAGTTGGTCTCCGCACCGCCACTCCTCCGTTCCAAGAAGACTTTACAAATGCCCAGAGAGCCCCGAGCTGCCGAAATACCCAGCTCGGGGTCGGGTCGCCGCCGTTTTAGGCCCCCGCAGCTTGGGCGCGGGACCCCGCGACGTTTTGTGTCTGGGTCTCCGCTTGCCGAGCTCTGTGGCCACCCCGACCCCAGAGCTGTGGCTGGGAACCGTGGCCCTGGCACGTTCCACCCCAGCTGAGCCGGGCCGAGACGCGGCCCTCGGTCTCGACGAGTCAGAAGCAAACAAAAATGTTTAACACCTCAGGCCCGGCTGCCCCGCCGTCACAATCTCGCCCTCTCCCTTTCTTTTCTCCCCTTTCACTTCGCCGCGTCTGGAGTCGGAGCCTGGAGCTGGGGCGCCGACGTAGGCGGTCTGGCTCCCCCCCCCGCTCTCGGAGACTCCCCAGTTTCTGCCTTGTGAGTCTCTGTCTGTCTCTTCCAGTCTCCTCCTCTTCTCTCTCTCTCTCTCTCTCTTTCTCTCTCTCTCTCTCGGTTCGCGGAATAAAAAAGATTGCAACATCGATAATGAACTTCTGTAGCCTCAGTTTATTAAGCACAGTGCCTGGCATTCTTCGCTGAAAGTTGGCGGGTCTCTCATTTATAACATTTTTGGCACCGCTGAATGAAACTGAGGAGGCGATATTTCCTTTTATATAAAACGATTACTTCACGGAAAATGCTATATTGTTTATTCCGAAGCTGCCTTTTTAATTTCTATTCTTTTCGCTTCTGGAGCGCGAAGGACAACAGACAGCGAAGTATGCAGACAAAATTCTTGGACATTCGCAGGTCACTGGGATTTGTTCTCCTACAAATTTCAAATCCGCCCCTCTTCGCCCCCCCACCCCCAGCCTTCCCCCGCCAGACCGCCCCCCACGCCTCCTCTCGCCCTCCCACCCCCCATCTTCCACCACCCTCCTCCCACCCCCTCCACAACTGCAAATAACTCAGTGATAACAGATTTTTTTCCACCAACTGCAGGAGATAGTGCTAATCTTTTAATAAAAGATCCCATTACAATGGGATCTGTCTGGACAGACTATAATAGATCCCGAAATACAGCCGTGCTAATATTAGAAGACAGTTGTTTGGGTGCCTCTCAGACGGGCCCAAGCCCCCCTTTGAAAGTGGGCATGAATCACAAAGCCCCGCGGCCGCCGCACCTGCACCGCGCGCATTCGGTGCAGCAGGCTGGTAAAAACGGGTGACCTCGCCGCTGCTTTTCGCTTTATAATTACCGTCCTGAGTACGGGAGGGGAGGGGCGCGGGCGGCAGGGGCGGGTGGGTGGGGGCGCTGGCGTTTTGCTCACTTCAGACGGCTCTGGGGGCTCCACATCCTTTTTAATCTTTCCAGATTTATTCTCTCTCTTCCCTCTTCTCTCTTTTCCCTCCCGTTTGCCCACCCCTTCTCCTCTTTTTTCTTTCCCTTCTTCCCCGACTCTGCTCATTCTTCCCCACCCTTTAGCCTCCCCTCTTTTTTTCCCGTCTTCCTTTCTCTCTTCCCTCCAATGCAGCATTAATGTAGAGTTGTTTAGTGCCCTCTAATGGCAGACGACATTAACAATTAATAGCAAACTGTCCCCTCTGCAGGAGCCGACACTCAATGGCTGAGTTCCAAAGTTGAATTTATTCCTTCTTTATTCAGGCAGATGGACATAGTGCTTATACAGTAATGTGCTGGAGGGGAAGTTTGCTTTCTCCCCTTCAAGTCTTTTTTTTCCAGGGAAAAGTTAGTTGAAGGAAAGGGGGAAGCTAACCATTATTGTTACTTGACTTTTTCGGTGGTGGTGGTGGGGGGTATAGATTTGTCTTTACAGCAGCAAGAGACACAGATTATGTTATATTAAGGTTTATCAAATCGTGTATCTAGGGTTGGAAAATAAATATTCTAAATACATAAAAATCTTAGGTAGATGGTGGGATCTTACGGTTGTGCTACCAATAGTCATTAAAACATTTTAAGACTCAAATGTAATCATATGATCTTATATTTGCCTCCTTTAAAAAATACATTTATTGGTCTTGAATCTTCTGTAGCCTCTTGAACCTGAAAAAAATCTAATTGTAGTTAAATTTTTCACCTTAGGACCATGCAAAACATTCAAATTTTACTCATGACTGGTAGTATATGAAGTCATCTTGCCTAGAAGAATACGGGGTCATATTGTAATGCATAGTTTATTTTCTCAGTACTTTTGGGATGATTGTTTTAAAGACCATAATTTCCTTGTATTTTATAACCTTATAGCAATAAAAATAGTGGTGTAACTTCCATGTTCTCAATAGATTTAACCCTTGTTCATTTACATGTGCACATAGAATATATTGATATAAAAATTCATACACAATATGACTTTTTTGGGGGAGGATCTAATTGGCTAAATGAAAATTAGAATACATACAGTTTTGAGGGATTAATCAAAAGAATATTTTATCTGAATACTTAAGCAAATGTATTTGGTTTATTCAGCAAGTTATTTTAGTTTGTGTATATAGAAACAACTGGTATCATAAGAAATTTCTAAATTAATTTAATCCAAGGTATGTCCACACAATTCCAGTATGATGGGTAAAAAGTAAAAATTCTGTTTCTGTTTTATTCTTTGTCTACATAATGCCAAGTACTCAGACCAGTCATTTAACTAAATTGACTGCATTGACTAGTGGGTTTGGCATCATGTGATTGTCTAGGCTAAGCCAAAGCAGACACAGTAGCTCTCATTGTAAAAATTGCTGCCGCTCACGGGAATGCTCCAGGACCAGAGGCAGACCTAATACAGGATTACTTCTTGCCCCCGAGAGGGTGGCCCTGAGGGTCAGGGTTGAGGTCACAGGCAAACACACGGTGGAAAACATAAGTGCTGTGTTGCTCTTGCCTTTGTGAATAAGCAGTTTGGTGTTTGTTTAGTGATACAAGCTCATCCTGTTTTTCAGCTGCACCTTGGATAGTATTGATCTGTTTGGGAGAATGTCTGCTCCCGAATCGGCACAGATCAGTCATCAGGATTCTTGTTGGCCTTGGGTTATTTTCTGGCCAGTCTGAGGAAATGAGACACAGGTCAATATTGGTTTCATATGGGCTTCCTGTGAGCATCAGCAAGAGATCCATCCAATTTCTGGGTATGAAATGGTATCACACCTGTTCAGTGACATCACAGAAAAACAGCTGCTATTTCTTTTACTGTTTTATCTCCTGTAAATGTTAAATATTGGGTTTGTAGATGTCTAAATGTCAAGGGGACATTTTAAAATAAAAATGCCTTCTTTCATTTTTTTTGTATGCCTCCAAGTTTGACTTCTTATTTTTTTCCCTTTCTGCTCTGCCAGAAAAGTAAATGTAAATCATGAGAAACACAATAGGACCACTTTGTAGCTGACTTTCTGGGCAGCACACAAAAAGACTGCTGTTCTCTGATTGTTTTCTTGTCAGCTTCAAAAACTATCTTCCTTCTAAAGTTTATAAATTTAAAATATATAGAGTTTAGCAAATAATTCAATCTAGCTTCCAAGATAGCTAGTTGAAACCGTATCAAATTGTTGTTTGAGGCAGAACTGACCTGGTTAAATTTTAGTCCCTAAAAAGAAAATATGGAGGGGGTAGGGTGAGGTTATATACGGAATTTTTGGAAATAATGAACTAAGTAGCTTTTACTTTTTGCTTTAAAATTAACCATCAAACTTTTTTGAAGTAAGGGATTTTCCAAAATGAATATTAAAATTTCAAATGCAAATAATCAACCTTGATTAACAAAATTTAAGCACTTAAGAAACAGGCTGAAGTGATTTTAAAATCAAATTTTGTTCTTCTAGGTACAGAACAGTTACTTAATGCGTCATAGTCCTAGGTGTTGTGTAACTTCGTAGACTAGGATGAGGATTTGAGGTCAGGGGTAGTAGTTCTGTATTGGCTGAA